CAAAATGCGTTGCATATTGAAGAGCGTAGGTTGGTATAGATGATGATGCTCAGCGTCAATCCGATTTTCGGCTATAGAGTGCTATTCTTTGTGAGCTTTTCATTGGCAATCGTGTTCAAACCAACGGGTGCAAAAACGTTAGGAAAATCCGCCATATGACCTTCAACCTCAACAAAAGAGCCCTTCTGAAAATATTGCACACATCACTGTGAGCCATCATTTACTCCATCAATCGTTTTCTCTTTAGAGGGGCATCCGCTAACGACTCCCATTTATAGGGTGGCACCTCCGCCCCTCCGCTCATCACTCGACCGCCGACTGACCACTAGTTCTGCGCGCGGGGAGGGTTCAGCAGGGCCTGCCCTCCCTCTGGGAACATATCGGCGGCGCGGGACCGGGCCCGGGGTGATTTGGGTGGGTGCCACCCTCGGCGCTGAGTCGGACAAGACACCGTCCGGTACGCCCGCGCCACAGGAAGCAGCCACGCGCTCCCGCGGGGAGGCTGCTCCGGAAGACACGGCGACAGGAAATGCTGCTCTTCCGGTGACGTCTTTCAGAGGGGAGCGCCCGGCGCCATAGAGCTGAGCTCTCTCGCGCCAGCAGGGAAAATCCAATTTGGAAAAATGCAGGGAATGACCGGATTTGAATGAAATACTGTTATGGCGAAAAAAGCAAATGCATCTTTTATGTTTTGTAAAACGAGATCACTGTGCTGGAAATGAATAAGCCGTGTGCGTGAGAAAAGCACAAGAGGTTGAAAATGGATGAAGTGCAGACAAACGCACGTTGTCTCGGATCAGAATCGTCTTAGAATAGAGTTACATAAAAGACATCAGCGCTAAGAGTGTTTTGAGAAGCACGTGCACCGTACACAGGTACGCTATTCATGTAGATCAAAGCGAAGAGAAGCAGCCTTGATATTCTCAACTCCCAAGTGAAGCATATATTCCTAAACTCTTGAGAAAATCTAAATCGAGCCATTAATTTCTTAGTTAATTACTATCCACTCCATCCATCCCTTGACTAGCCTTGTGTACTTTCATTTTATTACTCCAGCCAGACTTTATGCAAACTGCTTGAACAAAAATGATCGAAATTAAATAAGCTCAAAGCTGCGTGGCCTCGGCTAACTCTTTTTCACACGACTTAAGCTAAATACAATCCTCACGAACCAATCAACAATGGCATCATGAGCAGGCCTAGTGTTGACATTAATTGACCCTTCTCGCAGTAAGCGGGCAAAAGAACGGGACGAACGGCCCGAGACCAGTCTGCAGACTTGTAAACGACTCTGAGTTGATTCGTGAATCGACTCAGAATCAAACCATTTTTCGATGAGTCGTGAGTTGATTCGAATCACTTCATCGAGGAACTTGATGAGTCATGAGTTGATTCGAATCGATTAAATTTAGCATCATGAGTCATTTGATGAATCGATTCAAAATTTCCGACTCAAACAAAGAATCGACTCAAAAAAAATTTGAGTCGTTTACAAGTCACCATCAACACCCTAATAATCAATGCTAGATCACTCCCTCAGCTTTAGCCATCACTTAACTCCATATTTCAGACTTACAAGAGCCTCAGAGGCTCAGGCACAGGCGCCTAATGAGCCAAAAGCATTTGGCAGTTGGTAGGTACTTAGTCTTACCAAGCCAAGTGCCTGCTACACTACCTAGGTACCTACATATTACATGTCAGAAGTCAGAATTGACACCTGCGGCTGCCTCCCCTTCTCCCAGTCCCAATTTGGTCCCAATAATCAATCAACAGCATAAGAATTTGGGCGTCTATAGAGTCAAATACGCCCAAACTACCTATAGCCTATAAACTACCTATAGGCTATGCTATAATATAAATAAACTCACCTAGGTCGGTAAAGCTGGCGTCACCGTCGCCTTCCCGCCAAGGTAGGCCGTAATGACCAAGGTCACGTATGTCAAACTAGTGACAGCTTCAGATCGCAGTTACCGTGCGATCGTACTAACTTACTGCAAATTTGTGCTAACCTGCTGCAGTGGAAAACAAGTAAGTATTATGTCCGTGAAGTTAGCGTCAGCAACAACAACGAATACAGCGTCGGATTCAGAATCGCTCAAAAAACTCATATTCGGTCAATTGGGGGACGGGGAGCAAGAATATGACCTTTATTTGGCCCTAGCTTTTATCCCTTACCCCTTAATCGGCCCTTAAAGGAAGGGGCGCGTCAAAAGTGCCTCAAGGGTTCGTCTGATCGCCAAAATAAGGGTCGCAATCGATTCCCCGGGTTAATATCTAGCCGCAGCCTTGGGTTCCAGATGTGTGCAACTTACCCCTTACCCCTTAATCGGCCCTTAAAGGAAGGGGCGCGTCAAAAGTGCCTCAAGGGTTCGTCTGATCGCCAAAATAAGGGTCGCAATCGATTCTTCGGGTCAATATCTAGCCGCAGCCTCGGGTTCCAGATGTGTGCAACTTACCCCTTACCCCTTAATCGGCCCTTAAAGGAAGGGGCGCGTCAAAAGTGCCTCAAGGGGTTAGGGGTAAGTTGCACACATCTGGAACCCGTGGCTGCGGCTAGATATTGACCCGAGGAATCGATTGCGACCCTTATTTTTGCGATCAGAGGAACCCTTGAGGCACTTTTGACGCGCCCCTTCCTTTAAGGGCCGATTAAGGGGTAAGGGGTAAGTTGCACACATCTGGAACCCGAGACTGCGGCTAGGTATTGACCCGAAGAATCGATTGCGACCCTTATTTTGGCGATCAGACGAACCCTTGAGGCACTTTTGACGCGCCCCTTCCTTTAAGGGCCCATTAAGGGGTAAGGGGTAAGTTGCTCACATCTGGAACCCGAGGCTGCGGCTAGATATTAACCCAAGGAATCGATTGCGACCCTTATTTATGCGATCAGACGAACCCTTGAGGCCCTTTTGACGCGCCCCTTCCTTTAAGGGCCGATTAAGGGGTAAGGGGTAAGTTGCACACATCTGGAACCCGAGGCTGCGGCTAGATATTGACCCGAGGAATCGATTGCGACCCTTATTTTTGCGATCAGACGAACCCTTGAGGCACTTTTGACGCGCCCCTTCCTTTAATGGCCGATTAAGGGGTAGGGGGTAAGTTGCACACATCTGGAACCTGAGGCTGCGGCTAGATATTGACCCGAAGAATCGATTGCGACCCTTATTTTGGCGATCAGACGAACCCTTAAGGCACTTTTGACGCGCCCCTTCCTTTAAGGGCCGATTAAGGGGTAAGGGGTAAGTTGCACACATCTGGAACCCAAGGCTGCGGCTAGATATTAACCCGGGGAATCGATTGCGACCCTTATTTTGGCGATCAGACGAACCCTTGAGGCACTTTTGACGCGCCCCTTCCTTTAAGGGCCGATTAAGGGGTAAGGGGTAAAAGCTAGGGCCAAATAAAGGTCATATTCTTGCTCCCCGTCCCCCAATTTACCGAATATGAGTTTTTTGAGCGATTCTGAATCCGACGCTGTATTCGTTGTTGTTGCTGACGCTAACTTCACGGACATAATACTTACTTGTTTTCCACTGCAGCAGGTTAGCACAAATTTGCAGTAAGTTAGTACGATCGCACGGTAACTGCGATCTGAAGCTGCCACTAGTTTGACATACGTGACCTTGGTCATTATGGCCTACCTTGGCGGGAAGGCGACGGTGACGCCAGCTTTACCGATACCTTAACTACTTTCAATGAGTCTCAACTCAAGATCATATCTGATTCTGAGGCCTGAGCCACCCATGCAAGGTCATGGCCTCCTCGTTTGCTCCTCGTGGCCCATGGAGTCCCTGCTGATGCTGAATGTGTCACAGGTGGGATTAATCCTATTTTTGAGGTTGTACTGTTTGAATAATTTTATGTGATAAGTAAGAAGTAGTAACATTTGTTTCATTATCATGTAGAAAAAGTTTGATTAAAAAAAAAACATGAATGCCTCTCGGAACTTGTGCTTTTGGATTTTCAAAAAGACTTTCTAATAATAAGATAATAAGAGATAATAAGATAATAATAAGAGATAGGTTACTATGCTACTCCTTAGTCCTCACTTATATTATAATTGTCTCTCAGAGTTACTTACAAATTTATCTGATATTGCACTGTTGACTGTTGAGTGTTGAAGATAGGTAGGTGTAAGGTAGGTACCTATGTACCTAGTCCTACTAGGTAGCTGCTTGAATCTTTGGTCAAGGCTACTATGCTGCTTAATACAATTGTGGTATGCGGCATATTCATTTCATCATAGCTTTGAGTCAAATAATCAACAAATCCCTATAGTGAGTCATGGGTTGAATGAAATAAGTTCAATAAAAATGTCGTGTGAGTCATGAGTTGATTTGAATCGATTCATCAAAATGTGAGTCATGAGTTGATTCGAATCATTCCGTTGGCTAGTTGCTCGAGTCATGAGTTGATTCGAATCATTTTATCGAGGAACTTGGTGAGTCATGAGTTGATTCGAATCAATTAAATTTAATATCATGAGTCGTTTGATGAATCGATTCAAATTTCCAGACTCAAACAAAGAATCGACTCAAAAAAATTTTGAGTCGTTTACAAGTCTGCCAGTCTGCCCTCGCGTACATCACAGTGAACAGTGGGCCGATATGCCATCCTAGCGCGACAGGGCCTGAATCTTCGAACGGAACCCTTGGTTTTTCGCGAGTGATTCGCGTAAAAAGCGGCCAATCGCAACGAAACTTTCAGTACCCTCGCGGTAACTACTTTTACAGCTAACCTGAAAGTTTCATGACCCTGACCTTAATGATCTTTGACCTGTGACCTTCTTTCGAGACCATGTTTGGCCGGAATCGCGATTCAGCGTATGTCGGCTCGCATTAGCCGCGGGTTTGCAGTCTTTTCTTGGTTTAAAGCGTTCAAACATGGGATATTATGTTGCTTCCATGCATTAGGGTGGGTGCCAAGGTCACCAGAAGGTCAGGTAAGGTCACTGACTGTGACCGCCGCATGTACGTATGAATGTATGTGCACCGGCTATGGCTCGTCGCCGGCCAGGTAGACCGCCGGGACCGGCCGGCCGCGAGGGCGCCGGCCGCCCGGGCCCGGCCTGACCGGGCCGCCTGACCCTTCCGCCGCCGCGCAGCCTGGGAGGGCCGAGACCGGCCCCCCTGTTTTTGACGCCGGCGTCTGGAATGTGTATTGTCCACGCCGGCGTCCCCGTCCCCGGCAGGCGCGCGGACCGGCCAGGTGCTGCTATTTTGGGACCGCTGCGCGTCGCTAGACGTGTTTTTCTTCTCCCTTCGTTTCCGGATCTATTCAGCCTCCCCATCTGCGCTATTCGTCGTGACCCCATTTTTCGTCATATTTAAGCTGATGTAAACATGTTTCTCGCCCTGTTCTGTTCTGGCCTCCGCAGCGTGCGGACGTGCCTCTGTCCTGTCGTAGCCGTCGCACCGTTCGTTGGACACCGCAATATAGAAATACCTCTTCAGTGCTGTGTCGGGAAGTGTGGAAGCAACGAGACACAGTGAGCAGCAGTGAGCGGGCGGAGTTAGAATCGGGCGTGTGCGGCGCGTGTGCAACTCTTCATTCTACACAAGTTACCTTACCTTCACTCCTCTACCCTTCCTGGTCTGCTGAATTGTGGGCCTCCTTGTCGCTTGAATTGTGACTTCTATCTATACTCACTTAACCTTCCCATTTTACCCTTCCTGGTCTGCTGAATTGTGGGCCTCCTTGTCGCTTGAATTGTGACTTCTATCTCTACTCACTTAACCTTCCCATTTTACCCTTCCTGGTCTGCTGAATTGTGGGCCTCCTTGTCGCTTGAATTGTGACTTCTATCTCTCACCTGTGTCACGCTGAATTGCCGTGGCTCCTGGCTGCTGAATTGTGGCCATCCTTCATATCCGATCGATCTGCCTAAAGCCCTTCGCCTACTCGTGTTGAATAGGGTGTGCACGAGTTTATTTCACCCAAATGCCGTGGACCCGCCGGTCTGATTAGCCGCAGAAAGGAGTGTTTACAGTCCGCTCCGCCAGAGGAGAGTCGGGCGCCGCGCGGAGCGGTGTCCCGTCGAGCACAGGCCGGCGCGTGGCCGCGACATTTACTGGTCCTCCGGGCCGGATCCACCCGGCAACATGTCAACAACAGGAGAAACAGAAGAGCGTCCTGCAGCAGACCTGGAAGAGAGCGTCCCAAGAGAGAAGCGTCATGAAGCGGTGAGCGAAGAGTTGAAGGTGCTGCGCCGGAAAAGGGGACAGAAGTTAGCCGCCTTTTCGCGCGTGTGCCACAGAGCCGAGTCCATCATCGCCGTTCGTGGGAGTCGCTCAAGCCTAGAAGGATTGTTCGAGACAGTCGATGTGGCATTGGAAGGCGTCATCACAGCGAATGATGCACTGGAAGCCTGCCTGTCGTCTGAAGCAGATAAGGCTGACGCAGAGAAGTACTGTGCCAAGGCAGAACGTGATAGAGAAGATATCGTCGAAAGAATCACCCAGCATCTAGCAGAGCGCAGAGATGAGCCGCCATCAGGCGTCGGCTCTGTCGTTTCTGTCGCTCAGAAGAGCCCGACGAGTGCCGTCTCAAGAGCATCTCAAGTCGAAGCAGAGGTTGCTTCTAAGATAAAAGCACTGCGCCTGCAGCAGCTTAAGCGCAGGCAAGAAGAACAGCGACTGCAAGAAAGTCAAGAAGAGGAGAAACAGCGCCGCAGGGAAGAAGAACAGCGCCGTAGGCAAGAAGAGGAACAGCGCCGCAGGCAAGAAGAACAGCGCCGCACGCAAGAAGAGCAGCGCCAGGAGAGGGAAGCCGAGAGACGAAGACAGCTTCAAGATGCTGAAGATGAAGCTGAAGCAGCCCAGCTCGAAGCTAATCTACGTAAGGAGCTCAACGGTGACCTTCAACACGAAAGGAGGAACGATTTCGAAGATGAGCTGTTTGTAACAGAAGAAGCCAGAGACAGAAGTCATCAGCGAGAAGTACAGCCATCGTTTGAAAGGCCAACTACCACACCAAGCCATGAAATGGAGGCACGCCGTGAAAAGCCGGTCAAAGGCCCAGGATATCATCAGAAGAGGCACAACACGTCATGGATAGGAGAACTGCGCAGTCCGCGTCAGACCCAGCGCGCAGAGAGCGCAGCTCCGTTTTCAGCCTTCGCGAAGAGTATCCCAAAACTGACCCTTCCAACCTTCAGTGGTAAGGCTTCAGAATGGCCGAGATGGAACGGATTGTTCAAAGCGCTGGTGCATGATCAGCCGTCCCTCTCGGACACAGAAAAGATCGCCCACCTTCAGTCATCGGTGAGTGGACTGGCACAGCAGACCATTTCTGGTATGTTATACGATGGAAGTCTGTACCACCAAGCGTTGAAAGCCCTCGAGGAGCGGTTTGGTCAAGATGACGATATCATCAAACACAACCTCAACAGCATCTTCAACGCCCCGGACCCGCAGGAAGATGATGCAGAAGCGCTGGAAAGATTCCAAGCGACGGTACACTGCGCCGTGACTATCCTCCAGAGCATGGGGGCAGACGCTGACCTTCACAGCAGTGACAGCTTGCATCGGACGGTGGAAAAACTGCCTCGGGACCTGAGACGTGAGTGGGGAAAGTTCTCACTAGAACTGAAGCCGGCCAGACCATCACTAGTAGATGTGGACTCGTGGCTACGGACCCAAGTGAAGATCAGCAGAAGCTGTCCCAAGGGAAAAGGGGACGGCGAAGAAGTCGGCGCCAGGCAAAGAAAGGAACGCGCCGATGAGACCGTCCAAAGACAAACCTTCTTCACAGCCGCGAATCCAAAGCACAAGCAGATGTGCTCGGCATGTGAAGGCCAGCACGATCTGCAGCAGTGTCAGATCTTCATCGGGAAGTCTCCTGATGCCAGGCTCAAACACGCATTCAGCCAGAGATTGTGCCTCCACTGCCTCAGGAAGGGTCATCGCGTGGTAGACTGCCGAAAGGCAAGGCGCTGTGAAAGGGATGGCTGCAAGTACCGACATCACGCCCTTCTCCACGGCAGTCGGCCAGTCAGGTCGCGACAACCTGATGACCCAGTGACAAAGCCTGATGCAGGCAACGATGGAGCAGACGCAGCAGCACCGGGGGCAGTGCATGTCCTCGAACCAGATCCGGCGCTACAGGTGATGTTTTTCCAGAGCAGAGTCAGCGCTGGAGAGCTCCTGTCCGAGCAGAAAGGGGAATCGCGATCTACAGGAGCTTCCAGGACCAAACACAGCCAGCCAGTGCCACAGTCTCCAACACGACTCCAACACGCCGCGGGACATGCGGCCGCTCGCCCGCGTGACCCAGGTGTTACCGGGACCAGATGGATGAGTCCGTTGACGTTCTGTCCAGATCAAGGCGGCAGGACGATGCGAGGATAGATGGCCCGGCGTCAAGATTGAGGTGCTGGAAGTGAAGTGTGCAAATGCTGAGAACAGTCATGTAAATACGTGTATCGTGTTTCGTTCGCGCCAGCCGGTTAGAGAAAGCCGACGATTGCTCGCCCTCTCCAGACGCAGCCCAGTCGAGGCCGTCTATCAGCCGATACATCAGCGGCGGTACTGTGTTTTAGTGTTCTCGCGGAGTCGAACACGGGGGGCGGGATGTGACCGCCGCATGTACGTATGAATGTATGTGCACCGGCTATGGCTCGTCGCCGGCCAGGTAGACCGCCGGGACCGGCCGGCCGCGAGGGCGCCGGCCGCCCGGGCCCGGCCTGACCGGGCCGCCTGACCCTTCCGCCGCCGCGCAGCCTGGGAGGGCCGAGACCGGCCCCCCTGTTTTTGACGCCGGCGTCTGGAATGTGTATTGTCCACGCCGGCGTCCCCGTCCCCGGCAGGCGCGCGGACCGGCCAGGTGCTGCTATTTTGGGACCGCTGCGCGTCGCTAGACGTGTTTTTCTTCTCCCTTCGTTTCCGGATCTATTCAGCCTCCCCATCTGCGCTATTCGTCGTGACCCCATTTTTCGTCATATTTAAGCTGATGTAAACATGTTTCTCGCCCTGTTCTGTTCTGGCCTCCGCAGCGTGCGGACGTGCCTCTGTCCTGTCGTAGCCGTCGCACCGTTCGTTGGACACCGCAATATAGAAATACCTCTTCAGTGCTGTGTCGGGAAGTGTGGAAGCAACGAGACACAGTGAGCAGCAGTGAGCGGGCGGAGTTAGAATCGGGCGTGTGCGGCGCGTGTGCAACTCTTCATTCTACACAAGTTACCTTACCTTCACTCCTCTACCCTTCCTGGTCTGCTGAATTGTGGGCCTCCTTGTCGCTTGAATTGTGACTTCTATCTATACTCACTTAACCTTCCCATTTTACCCTTCCTGGTCTGCTGAATTGTGGGCCTCCTTGTCGCTTGAATTGTGACTTCTATCTCTACTCACTTAACCTTCCCATTTTACCCTTCCTGGTCTGCTGAATTGTGGGCCTCCTTGTCGCTTGAATTGTGACTTCTATCTCTCACCTGTGTCACGCTGAATTGCCGTGGCTCCTGGCTGCTGAATTGTGGCCATCCTTCATATCCGATCGATCTGCCTAAAGCCCTTCGCCTACTCGTGTTGAATAGGGTGTGCACGAGTTTATTTCACCCAAATGCCGTGGACCCGCCGGTCTGATTAGCCGCAGAAAGGAGTGTTTACAGTCCGCTCCGCCAGAGGAGAGTCGGGCGCCGCGCGGAGCGGTGTCCCGTCGAGCACAGGCCGGCGCGTGGCCGCGACACTGACCTTTGATGACCTCGGTTCACTTTTTCGAGTTTTACATGTTTCTAGGCTAGTTTTTGGAGCTGAATTCGAATCTAGCAACCATTTGAACATTTACTATGTAGCTTTGATGCCTTCGTAACATGTTACAAAGCTGTCAGAGGCGGTTGCCACCTACTGCAAATACCCGGCAAAACCCTTACTGGTTGACCTGACCTGACCTGACCCGACCTGGCCTAAATGTATGAAGACATCATCTATGATCGTAAATAACATTATATTCGTGATCAGCACCCAAAAAAACCATAACAGCCACCCTATACGACGTTCTAACAGGTCCCGATTTTCCCGACTTTTGGGTCATTGACCTGACCTGGAAGGTCAACCGATGACCTAGGACCTTACAATTGGGTATCATCAGCTTCCTCTTGTCACGGGCAACACGCTCGTCTTTTCCGCAAAGCTCTAGCTCGATCAGGGGCGAAGCGGCGGGGGGGGGGGGGTCCAACGGACCCCTTCTATACGTTCGCGGCTGGAAAAACACCACTAGGGGCGAGGGTTAACCCAAATCTGAGGGCTTATTTCAGAAAGACTGCTAAAAGAGCAATTGAATGCAATTTTCCGCGACGATGTAGCTCTATTGGTCCCCGTGGTAAGGGCCGGTTTTCGAGAAATGTTGATATACGCAACATTTTACCTTTGATGACCTCTGGTGATGTGACCTTTGACCTGACCTAGAAATGACTAATTACTCCATCTGGAATTTTGGGCGCTCTTTCGAATGCCACTTACTACGTGTCGCTATGTGGCCCAAGAGCCGAGTTAGAAGGGGAGTGTTCAATCAACACCTCCCGGCCCGGCGCGTTTGACGCCGAGCACCGGTCCGGTGCGGGTTGATGTTTGGCTGCTACATCCAAAGTCGCAAAAAGTCGCAAAAAATGACTGTTGGATCTTGTAGTGCAATGAATCATTGACATGTAGCGAGATTTTCGAAGCGGTACTCTGCGGTACTTTTTTTAAAAGTCTATTTGTGTGTGACATCAATTATGTGAAATTATATTTTCGTCTTTAAATCTTTGTGGTGCCAATACATCATAACCAAGTAAGAGTTCGCCATTTTCATGTGGTTATATGCGTTCTGCAGGCCCGGAGCTATCGTTTGATGTATATAAATGTGGAATTCCTCCTCAAATTGTGATTGTTTTCGTGGATCAAAGATACGTTGTCGAAGAGTGCGGGGGACGAGTTCGGTCCAAACGATTCCGAAGTTCGTGTTTAAGCTGAGTTTTCGCCATGACTTAGCAATTGTGTTGGAAAACAAAGACCACAGCAATGTAGTATGATCATTTTTGAACAAATTGGTATAGGTTTCATTGCACATCCACAAAGTTCGATTTTTTACCCATGTCGTGCTAGACCTGGCGACCGGCCCAGTGTGCAGTGGCTGGCGGCTGCCGACAGCAGGGTCCGCCATCAGTGGGGGCGGAGACGACTCCCCACAGGAGGCACGGGGCGGGGTGTCATAAAGACGCGGCCGGCGACGGCACGGATTTGTGGCCGGCAGCACCGCCGAGATTTTTCAATTACGGCCGGCTTATGCTGGCTGGATTTACGCCGGTTGGCTGTCGGACGGTGGACAAGTTTGGCCGCTGGGGAGCGCGGTCGGGCAGCGGCGCTGGACACTGGCCATCCGGCGGGCGGTCGGCGGCCGGGCTGTCCCTTTCCATTGTCTCCAGCCTCAGCGGCCACCCCAGTAGGCAGTGAGAGAGGCGCCCGGGTCAGTCCCGCGGCCGGTCGGAAATTCCTCGGCACAAAACGCTCCACTGAGGATGCATGGGATGGATGATGGACGTAGACAGGAGACTGAGTCTCTCAGGAGTGGTTGGATGAAGCTAGATTAATAGCAGAGCTGAGGAATACGACGGTAAGAATCAAAAGGCGCTGCGGATGGCAGCCAGATGCTAATGAATCTCGACTCTTCATGATCCTCACGAAACGGAGCGCCTTTCGCGAGGCTCGTCACGAAGAGAGCAAGGCCATGTGATGCATATTGTATTATGCAGCGGGCCACTTTGCATCAAAATCAGTCCTGGCAGTGTTGGCGGAGTTTTCCAGAACTACTTCATGGAACAAAATACTACGGACGAGAAGGAGCAACACCCAAAGAATGTCGAGAGCTGGAGTTGTGAGCCTGTGCTTCAACGTGGGGATTTACGAGTAATCTGGTCCAAGGCTTCCTCACTGGAAAGGTTCACTCGGTTTATTTCCAGCCAATGTTGACGCAAGCCTAAATTTTTCGTCAAGCCATGACAATGCAGACGGTGAGGTTATTTTAGCCTGCACCAAACATAAACATCACATACCACTCGATGGTGAATCAACAGCATAAAGAAAGTCTCCAGAGTTTTCTCTGTCAGATCCGGGAACTGTGAATCAGATCGAGCATACACTTACAGGGTGTCCCATAAGTTCGTTCTCACATTATGTTTGCATGTGAAACAGAGTACATTGCGTTTTGGTATATTTATGACCCCTCAATGTGCTCCCCATTTAATAGGCAAACACATGAATGGATGCTGCGGCATGCCAACCGGCATGTTTGGCTGCATAGCAGGCTTAAAGTTAACCCAGACTGACTTGACATGCGCCGTGAGCTCCTCGAGGCTGGAACAGCGCTACGCTTCGACGAGCCTCAACTTCAGCATAACCAACAAATTTTTATGAAATTTTGATCCGATGAGGTGCCTGGCATGTGATCTTGCCACAAACGCCTGTCACAGTCTCCTTGCACCGCTTTTAAGCTTTGCTTGACCTGTGCACTGATGCACTGTCTTGCCTAAAGATGGGCCTACGACCTCCCGGATGCCATTTTCTCCTCTATAAATGTGTTCATACTCGCGGTTCGAGTTCAGCTTGAGGGCTGAAATTCCTCCTAGATGTTCTTGGAAAAGCATTCTGCTTCCCAAAACTGTTTCTGGGTTGCCACTTGTAACTTGATCAACTCCAGAACGCCTATAACCCCACAACACAGTGACCCTGGCCTTTTGCATAGGAACATAACGGGACGAAATGAAGGCCTCCTCCTTCGCCCTTATGGGGTTGTTTTCGGGTTTGGACGGGTGTTTCATCTCGAACGTGGACTAGTTAGTCCAGATGACCTGGTTGATGTCATCAGCCCTCTAGTTTTGTTTAGCCTCAGGCATAACAAAACTCATGTTTGGCCATTTTAAGACGTTTTTGACTGTTTTGTGCCCTCCGGTAAGCAAAGCTTAAGTCACCTTGAGTTATGTACCCCGAAAGAACACTCTTAGACAGCTGGTAATCCATCCTGAAAAGTCTGTTTACCAACTTTCTAACCCTTTGACCTTTTTGATGGCCACTTTGGCGCCACACAGTTTTGGCCACTTGGCTCATTCCTGAGGGCTGGCTAGAAAAAGGATAAACTTGCAGTGATTGACTCCCAACAAATCATCGGCGTCACTTGCTGACTGTGCGTCCAGTTAGCGATGGATATTGGCTACAGACTGGTAGGCCTCAATCACCCTCAATCGTCGCGAATGGTCACGTGCTGACTAAATACTGAGACGTACCCGTATCGGAGACCTCTATGTTGCGGCGTTAGCCGTCTCTGTAGGAAGCGGGCTCTCTAGCAAAAACTATTTTGTCTACAGAAATTAGCTACTGTGGAGCATATTTCTACCAGCCATGGCAACCATGTAAGCTCAGTTACGAACCAATTTCAGGGTGCCTTTAAGCAAGAAAGCCTAAAAACGTAAAATTTAGGTGAGAACGAACTTATGGGACACCCTGTACACCAAGAACATCCCTACTGACTCCCTATGAAATTGCACGTCGAGTCTTTACTCAACCCATCCCTTTCACCCAGCGGCACGGCGGAAAGACGCACCAGCCGGTCAACTCACCTGATTTTTCCCTTTGGACGTGCACTCTGTGCTGCTGGTCGGCTCCAGCACCAGGGAATCACGCTGTGAACAGAGCAGAATGTCAGTGCAAACACCTCGTCCCCGAGTCGGCACAGACAACACACTTGTGTCAACAGCTCAATGGTCAACACGGGAGCCAAACGGTCTCGGAGCTGCCTCTGCGGAAGCTACCGCAGCTTCTGAAAACATCAACCGATGAGTTGAGCACTTCGTGATCTCGCATTGATGGTCCATTCTCGCCGATGTCGATCTGGACTATCGGCCGCCTGGTGAACACCTGACAGACCCCTTCCCCGCCAGCCCTGTCCCAGCTGTCGCTATCCATAAGCCCTGCCCGTTCAACCCTCCACTCCAGACGAAGTCCACGACAGCCGCCGGAATCACGTCAGACAGATTGTATAACATTTTACAGGCACCAACATTCGTCGCCAGCTCCAATCGTAAAGTGAGTCCCGTTAATTCAGAGAGGGTCTCGCCCATAAAACGAGCCGGCACGCCGTCGTTGGACGAAATAAAACCTGCCAGGCCGTCATATATATTGAACCAACAACGACCCCGCGACGGCTGGCTGGTCATCTGCCAGCGCCGAGAAACGAGACGCAAATATAACGGAGCTGAACTGGCATGAGTGTCATGCCATGAAGACTTCGAAAAAAGGCCGTGATAATTAATAAACCATTTCTGGAGTAGAGCAGACAAGCAAATGTATGTAGAACAGGGTGAATTTAGAGGGGTTAATTCAAATTACTACCTTAAACATTATTGTCGGTGACAAGCCACACAGAGCACGCAGTCCACATTCATCCGATCACAATGTCCATATATCATCACATCAACACTTATCGAATATCGAATCAAGAATATCGAATTGATTACTATACAATATGTGCGCTATATATGTGAGAGGTTACACCAAGCCACACAGTTCAAATAAAAAAACGTTTAAACAGTTTCGCTACTGAGCGCGGTAGACGCACTATTCATTGTTCACCCTCAAACACGAAAATCCCAAACACAGATGCAAACTCCGGTGGCCCATCAGAACATGGATTACGCAGTGAATCCCCCATTAGCCGTATCGCGTAAACATCTGTTTCCCCTCCAGAAGAAACACGATTTAATATCGAAAGTCATTCCACAGCGACATGCCCGAGAGCTTCCGAGGGGGTTCGGATCTGAGAGCACTGATATCACTAAAGCGCATAATGCCAACTGAGATATACGTGCGCAAGCACACTCAATCACACTGATTCGAGAGCAATGGAAATATGTGTGTCCAGATCATGATACTATAGGTGTAATGATGGCTCATACCGAGCATTCACTCACAGGGGCACCTATACTTGTATTTAATGGGATATCGAGCTGCGCCCGGTATATACGACTCCAATCAGGGCTTGTGACGTCACTTCCCAATTACCGAGTCTACTCAACGGAGCCGTGCAAAGGACCTATCGAGCCGATATCGACAGCCCCGCACCCCCTCCCTCTCAACGAGGGGTGCACGCGGGCGGAAAACGAAAACAATTTTCCGGCGACGCGCGCGCCCCGCCGCTGGTCGGTCGACCCCCGTCAGTAACGAGGGGATTCAATAGCCGCTCGGCTGTGTCACCGGGGCCTAACGATAGGATACCGTGACCGCCGCCGTCCCCGTGGAGGAAGGGAACAGGTAGCGCTGAGTAGACGGTACAGCCGTGCAAGAGACAGACCCGGGACACTACCCCGCGCTGCGTCGGTGAGCCACTGTTATGTTTTGGACCCGTTCCGCGGACCGGCTGCTGGTAGGCTGTGCCGCCGTGCACCGGCCCGGCTCAGTGTGTGCCCGCGGGGCAGGTCAGGGCCGAGGGAGTGTCTGAGTCGGGCCGAGCGAGTGCTGGCAGTCGGTGTCGGACCGGGGCGCGGAATACATACAGGCACGAACCGGAGCAGTTGTGTCGGCGGCAGCGACAGAGGATGCAACATTTGGCGACGAGGATTTGAACTCAAGATGGACGGTACGTTCGGCTCCCTGCCACCGTTTGATTGCAACGAACCCAGTAAGTGGAGCGCTTGGAAGAGAGCGTTTTTCTGTTGCCTCACTGCCAACGATATATCTGGTGACAAGCGTCAAGTTGCATTGTTGCTGCATCTGGGAGGTCTTGAGCTCCAAGAAGTGTTTCATGCTATTGTGGATGAGCATGTCAAGGTAGAGTCGCTCGATGCAGCTATTGAAATTTTGGACAGTCACTTTTTGCCAAAGAAAAATGTCACTTATGAGCGTCATATGTTTCATAAGGAAAGTCAGAAGCCAGAAGAGCCGATCGATGTTTTTGTGACGAGATTGCGGAGCCGTGCCAAGACGTGTGAATATGGGGCAATGCAAAATGATATGATCAGGGACCAGCTGGTTGACAGGTGCCACAGCCATCGGCTACGCTGTAGCCTTCTGAGGGAGCCGAGTCTGACCCTCGAGACGGCTCTCTCGATCGCGAGAAGCATGGAGAATGCAGACCGACAGGCTGACGTCATCGAAGGTGCTGCAGCTGCTGCAGCTGCGGGCCCCGTCGAGATGCTTCAGACGGTCCGTCAGGACCGCACGAGGGAAACATCTCGATCGCAATCGAGACCAGCACCACCAGGCAGGTCGACTCAGCCGAATCAGGTGAAGTGTTTCCGCTGCGGCAGGTCTAACCACAGGGCAGATGATTGTGTCTCTGTGAGCCGGAGGTGTTTTGCATGCAAACGGTACGGCCATTTTCAGAATATGTGTGACAGGCCCCTCCGGCGTCCTGCGAATCGAGTCCAGGTGGTGTCGTCTGGAGTCGGCGTCGACTCCGAGATCGAAGACCACGTCTTCAGCCTCAGCTCTGCAGCGAGGGAGGGACGTTTTCCCATCCAGGTGGGTCAGCAGGTGTGTGAAGTGCTGGTCGACTCTGGTGCGACTTGCAATGTGATGAGCGAGACCACTTTTAGAGCCAGCTTTAAGGGAGTGCAATTGCTGCCTAGCCGTCGTAGACTATTTGCCTATGGATCCGGGAAACCGATGCAGGTCGTGGGACATTTTAAAACAGCGATATCATTTGATGACGTCACAGTGCCAGATGCTGTATTTTATGTGATCCCCGGCTCGCATATATCGTTGTTGGGTAAGGAGAGCGCTGAAAAGGTCGGGTTGCTGCGGGTTGGTCCCGAAGTGAGCTCTGTTTCACTGAGCCGTGATCCCACTGACAAGTACCCGATGCTCTTCAGTGGCCTTGGCAAGCTGAAGCAGTTCCAGCTGCAGCTGCACATCGATCCCGACGTCCAGCCAGTGGCCCAGAAGGCGCGACGGATCCCAGTGGCGCTCCAGAAGGCTGTAGAGAAGAAGCTGGAGGAGCTGCTACAACAGGAGATCATTGAAAAGGTCAGTGGCCCGACACCATGGGTGTCTCCAATTGTTTGTGCCCCGAAGAGTAACGGAGACATTAGACTTTGTGTGGACATGCGGAGAGCTAACACAGCAGTCAAGAGGGAAAGACATCCCATGCCCACTATCGATGATGTGTTGCACGAGATGACTGGCGCCGCGGTGTTTTCGAAACTAGATCTTGTCCAATCGTTTCATCAGATTGAGCTGGATGAGAAGTCCAGGTCCATCACTACTTTTGCGACACACCGAGGGCTGTATCGTTACAGGCGTCTTATGTTTGGAATTTCATGTGCCCCCGAAATCCACCAGAGGGTCATCCAGCAGGTCCTGGCAGACTGTGAAGGAGCACGCAATATCGCAGATGATATTGTGGTTTTTGGTTCCACAGTAGAGGAGCATGATCGGCGTCTTGATGTCGTTCTACAGCGCTTGATGGAGTCGGGGTTGACGCTCAACAAAGAAAAGTGCCGCTTCCGCTTGACAGAGCTGGTCTTCATGGGTCACCATCTGAGTAAGCAGGGGGTGTCACCGACAACGGAGAAGGTGGCAGCAGTCTTGGACGCCCGGGAGCCGAGTTCACCAGCCGAGGTGAGGTCTTTCCTGGGACTCGTCAACTTCTTGGGCAGGTTCATCCCGAATCTGTCCACAGTCTCTGCTCCTCTCAGGGATCTGACGAAGTCGGCAGCAGAGTGGCGGTGGGACGAGCCTCAGAAGAACGCGTTCGTTTCTCTGAAGAGGCAGCTGTCTCAGAGGAGAACCTTGGCCTATTTTCAGCAGCACGCAGAGACGCAGCTAGTGGTGGATGCTTCTCCTGTAGGACTTGGTGCCGTCCTTCTTCAGAGACAGCCTGATGGGCTGCTGTAGCCGGTCGAATACGCCAGCCGAAGCCTGACTGATGTCGATCAGCGCTATTCACAGACGGAGCGCGAGGCCCTGGCTGTAGTGTGGGGCTGCGAGCGCTTCCGTATGTACTTGTACGGCGTGGATTTTGTGTTGGTCACTGACCACAAGCCGTTGGAGGCGATGTTTTCCCCATCATCTAAGCCGCCAGCCCGCGTGGAGAGGTGGGTGCTCCGGCTGCAGCCTTACCGCTATACTGTTCGCCATGTGCCCGGCCCACATAACATTGCTGACTGTCTCAGCAGGCTGACTCAGGAGCGAGAACCGGCTGGGATCCAAGACGGGAGTGCCGAGGAGTACGTCCGCTTCGTGTCGTCGCACGCTGTTCCAGTAGCCTTGTCGAAGGCTCAGATCCAAGAAGGGACCAGAAGGGATGGCGAGCTGCAGGAAGTCGTGAAGTGGCTGCCGAGGGGCCGTCCTGGTGAATGTCCGAGTCCATATAAATCGGTGAGTCACGAACTGTGCGTGTATGACGATTTGGTGCTGCGTGGTCACAGACTCGTCATTCCAGTGTCTCTACGCAAACGTGTACTTCAGCTGGCCCACGAAGGACACCAAGGAATGATGAGGACCAAACAACGGCTGAGAAGTAAGGTATGGTGGCCGGGTGTTGACAAAGATGTAGAACACCTTGTCAAGATGTGTCATGCCTGTCAAGTTGTGTCCACAGGAAACTCACCAGATCCGGTGGTGCCCAGTGAGTTGCCGTCTGGACCGTGGCGGGACGTGAGTCTGGATCTCTGCGGGCCGTTCCCCACTGGTGAGTCCCTGCTCGTTGTTACGGACAGGTATTCGCGGTGGGTAGAAGTTGAAGTCATGAGGTCAACTACGTCGTCATTAATCATCGATCGATTGAGACAAGTGTTTGCACGACTCGGCTTACCGGTAACGCTGACCACCGATAACGCAAAGAACCTGACCTCCCCGGAGTTCGAGAGATTCTGTGATACATGTCAGATCCGTCACCTGACTGTTACACCTCTGTGGCCGCAGGCAAACGGACTCGTTGAGCGGCAAAACCGGACGCTGCTCAAAGCGATCAGAGCTTCAGTGGCGGAGCAGCGCGACTGGCGGGAGTCTCTGCAGGCCTTCCTGCTGGCGTATCGGACCACGCCACACCCGTCCACCGGGAAAAGTCCGGCGGAGCTGATCTACGGCCGGGAGCTGAGGACCAAGCTGCCGGAGGTCGATCCGCCGCCAGCACCCGGGCGCCGAGCGGTGCAGGCGGCCCATGATCGTAGCGGGAAGCGCGGCAAAGAGTATGCGGACAGGCGGCGACGCGCAACGCCGCATAACATACGCGTGGGTGACAAAGTGTTGGTTCGTGTGCCCCGTAAAGTGGACAAACTGAGTGCTGCGTTCTTCAGGGAACCGTATACTGTCGTCAGTGTGAACGGTTCACAGTTGACTGTAAGGCGGCCGGGGGACGGGAAACTGTTCAAGCGTAACAGCACTTTTTGTAAGAGGTTTGTTGAGTATGACGCTTGTGTCGATCTCGGAGAACCAGCTATTCCGTGTGCTCCGGTCGCCGGTTCAGCGATACCAGCGACTGTCGGTTACCGCACGCGCAGTGGTAGGCTGGTACGACCGCCAGATCGTTTCGGGTACTCTGTTTGATCTGGCCATAGTGAGGCGTCAGGTTTTGTTGTTGTTTACAAGGAAAGGGATTGTTATGTTTTGGACCCGTTCCGCGGACCGGCTGCTGGTAGGCTGTGCCGCCGTGCACCGGCCCGGCTCAGTGTGTGCCCGCGGGGCAGGTCAGGGCCGAGGGAGTGTCTGAGTCGGGCCGAGCGAGTGCTGGCAGTCGGTGTCGGACCGGGGCGCGGAATACATACAGGCACGAACCGGAGCAGTTGTGTCGGCGGCAGCGACAGAGGATGCAACAGCCACCACCAAAGTTGGGCAGGGCCAGACCGGAGCAGCGAACACAAGACATGGACTTCCGACGGGTCCGATTTAGCTATCAGAAGGTGACGCTAATGGCGTGCCACATGCAGAGACAGGACGGGGCTTACCTTGCAGTCAGTCTGGCTGATGTCGCTCAGGTTAATCCGCATGACACGGTCCCTGTAACAGACCAAATCGGCAGTCAGAACGAGGTACCCGCCGCCACAATCAGCGAGTATCATTGAGTGAGTCATGGTTTGACACTGGTGTAGTTATGTAGCTCATCTGCAGAACATTTGGAAACATGTGTTGTCGACAACGATACTCTATTATCAAGACATTTTTTTGTGCCGCGAAGAACAAAATGAGGCCAGAAGATAACTATTCACGGACGCTTGGCTCACTGTACATAATAGGCATGAAGAACAATTTCACTCTCCTGGGAATGCATTGTTTGTTGCAAAGGAATCGTACCGGAAAAGGAGGTCGGCAACCGTGCCCGAAGGATACACAACTCCCTTTAACGCCACTTAATGAAATACCATTAAATCTTATTAGCGCACAGCGCAGACAAGATTATTCCATTTGTGTTTTGATTCGAGACCCGAGCGGCTGTCTAATTGCGCCGCTCGGGCCATGTCGGCAAAATACGGGCAGAGAAACGCTCTCAGAAACGGCCCAGTCGCAGCACAGGCGGCGCCGAAAAACAAGGCTGCACTGCAGGCAATTAGCCGGGTAATATACCCCGCAGCGGCGTGTTACTTCTGCGCTCTCGGCACCCCGGGCCGCTGTCGACTCTGAGAGGGCCCCTCCGACCTGTACTTCCACCCACTCTCTGTCTCCTACACGAGCTGGTGACTCGGCGTTCGCTTCGCGCTGGTATCATCTCACAAAGAGCTCAAACGCAAACGTACGGCCAGCCTCCCAACCCGGTTTAATCAACTTAAAATTTGTTGTCTTCGATCGTGTCGTCAAGCCGCCGAGGCGGATGGGGGGGGGGGAGGGGGGAGGACTAGCTTAGAGTCCAGCGGGGTGGGCGGGGGTAAAAACCACACAGCCGCAGTGAGAAAAGATAGTTCACCTTCCATATTGCTAAGTGTGTAAGCAACAGCTGAAGGCGACTGATACCAAGTCGCCGGGGTTAGCCCGACGTTCGCCACTCATTCCACTAATGGCTTTGCGACAGCTCAGCGACCGTTAGTTGCGCGTGTCGCCGCCAGAGGCGCTGCCGTCGCTCCCATGGGACGAGTACTTACGGGGACACTGCACAGTCATCGTGTAATGGCGGGCCAACGACTGCGACGCAGCGCCGTTACTGCAGCCAGAAAAGGCCGTCAGACCGGCAGGTATCGCCAGCGGTTCCGACGGCGATTTTACGTGGTTTCAGGATCGCAGAGCCAGCGCCTCGTTAAAGTTTGATGCGCAGCCTGCCTCAAATGGCAGCAAGCAGGGCCCCGATGATAAAAACAGCGGCGTCGATTGACCATCGGTTTATAGGCGGTTGGGGACATCAATACTGGACGCGACACGCCACAGTCTTACAGGGCAGAGGAAATCGCTTGGCAGCTTAATGGCTTTAGAGTTACGGAAGGACATAACGCATGGAGTGACTGCCAGGTTTTACCTCTAAGCGGCAAATGAGGAGTATTTCTCCTAAAGGTAGTAGCCAAAACTTGAAGAAAAAAATCGCTCAAGATCTTACAAAACATCAATAATATTTACAACAGGTTGAACACGCCGTAAAAGGAAAGAGCAATCAGACAGCTATCAATCATAACGGATGCTGAATGCACTTGTGTTTTCTCCACTGGATCTGGATATGCATATTGGTACGTAAAAGCACTGATGACGAATGTCCTGTGTATGGTCTCGAAGAAATACTATGGTTACAAAACCCATAAGGACAAGGGAAGGGAGCCGGCAGAATTGATCAGTCTTGATACCATGCGATGGATGGTCCGTATGAAGGACTTCTAAATCAAATTGCACATGCAAGGCAACAATAAAATCAAACGATTCGGAACACGGTCAATCTCGAAGCTGCACAGCTTCCTGGCAGAACAGACAGAACTGCCCCAGACTGCCATCAAGTATTCAACAAAGCGTTCGCTTCATGGCACATTAGTGAAAGCCATATATCTCGGTTTAATGTCGACCGCAGATACCCGGCCCTGAAGACATCCGTCCGACCCAGGCAGCTGAGACGCGGCCACGGCCGGCACTTCTCGGCAAACGGAATAACTTATCCAGGCGCAGCCAGCCAATAGTCCAAGTGACGGGCGGCCGGCGAGCGCCGCAATTCATGGCCCAAGTTGTGAGCGAGCGGCGTCGATTCCTCGGAGAGGTCAGCCATGCTCGACCGAGTGCGGCACACGCGGCTGGGCCGCAAGGACCACTACATCCTGCTGGCGACGGCGGGCGCGGCGGCCGCGCTGGCACTACTCGTCTTCGACATCACGCAGCAGGCGCTCTCCAAGCCGGAGAACACCAGCGGCCGCATCACCGTGTTCGTGCTGGCCGTGCAGTGTCTCTGCTGTCTGGGCAGCTTCCTGGGCTACGTGTACCGCTCGCTGGCCGGCCGGCCCGGCCTGCTGACGGCTCTAAGCGTCTGCGCCGTGTTCGCCAACCTGCTGTTGCTGCTCGGCCGAGTCGTGCACGAGATCATCTTCAGCGGCTACATGCCCGAGGAGTACAGCGAGACGCCGCAGTTTGACGATGTCACGGAGGAGGAAAGGGAATAGTGTGGTCGCCTAATGAGTAGCGACTAGAGAAAAGCGACTAGATCCTAGTGGCTAAAAACTAGCAACGCCTGCAATGGCGCCGGGGTGGCGGACTGAGTGGGCCCAACGGATATCGTCGCCGCGAACATTGTGGAGCAGTGTTTACGTTCTTAGAATGTCAAAGTGCTGGTGTTGGGCAGCGACAATAGCACACAAGTTTTAGTTTGAAAGTCAGTCTGTCGCGACAGTCGTATTGCACATGGTCTGTGCCCAAGACTCCGGCAAACTCGACAACAATACACGGTTACGAAGTTCAAGCAGACGGTGGCTCCTAGGACGTTGTGCAAGAGTCTGAATGTCACCACTAACACCATGAATCTCCTCACAAATGAGACAATTCTATCCCCAGAACAAGGCCACACTGAGCCTGCACCAATGCGTCACAGGAAGGTCGTGCGTGGCCGCCGGGCACTCACACCAGCTCGAGCAAGTGCCAGCGCCGGCAGCGCCGCTGTTGACAAAGACAGCCGTCGGCACGATATTGTGTTGACAGTAGACCGCCTCAAGGACCCATGCAGGAAGACGAAATTACCCCACAAACGGCGACACACGCAAATGACGCTGGCAAAACCCACCAAGAGCAGCACGGGTAAAAAGGTCTGCGTAAGCTCGCCAGGCTGGCAGCTCGGCACGCAGCATAATACCCCGCGCAGCCATCAGCGCACGGCGCCAATATCTGCCGTGGGAAATCGCACGGCGGGCCTCTTAGAAAAGCTTAGTCAACGGCTCAGCGCTGATATGTAAACAGAGGGAGGCGGTGCGTGAGCGGCTTGCCGTCGGTCCTCCCCGGGTACCCGGCGAGGAGCGGCCTGCCGCGGAGGGCCGCTGCCACCCCTGCCAGTGCTGCGGGTCCGGCACACCGGCACTCGACACGTGCTAACAGAGGGACGTTCGGGTGTAATGGGAATGGCATTACCTGCGGGATCAATAATCGAGAAGTGTACTGAGATGAGAAACTTGATTCACGAATTACAAATAAAATGTTCTTAAAAAAAAGTAAAATGAGTTTATGCTGAAATGAATGGTTATGTTATTCTTCATTAAGTTTTCAGTGAACGATGGTATGTGATCACTAGTAAGGCGAAGGAACGCGCCTCGTAACAATACTGAAAAGAAAAAAGAAAAGAAAACAAATTGAAGGTATCGATATTGAACTGCTTCAATCCAAGTCTCATAACCCAATCGGGCCGCACAATTGTGTAAAAGATCACTTACCTCCACCAGCATAAATCACTAAACAAGGATAAGACAACATGCATAGATCTAGTCGCACATTTACAGGGTGTCCCATAAGTTCCTTCTCACCTAATTTTTTTTTTTAAGAGGCTCTCTTATTTAAAGCCACGCTTAATTTATTTTGAAACTGAGCTTTTGGGGTTGCCATGGCAACTGTGAATGTGATCCACGGTAACTAATTCGTCTAGACAAAATATTTTTTGCCAGAGAGTTCACTTCCTTTGGAGACGGCTTACGCCGCAACATAGAGGTCTCTGATACGGGTACGTCTCGGTATTTAGACCGCACTGGGCCATTCACGACGGTTGAGGGTGATTGAGGCCATCCAATATGTAGCCAATGTCTGTCGCTAACTGGACGCACAGTCAACAAGTGACGCCGATGATTTGTCGGGAGTCAATCGCTGCAAGTTTATGCTCTTTTTTTGTCAGCTTTCACGAGTGAGCCATGTGGCCAAAACTGTGTGGCGCCAAAATGGCCGTAAAAAGGTCTTAGCGTTAGAAAGTTGGTAAACAGGCTTTCCAGGATGTATAACCAGCTGTCTAAGAGTATCATTTCGGGGTACCTAACTCAAGGTGACTTAAGCTCTACTTACCGGAGGGCTCAAAACAGTCAAAAACGTCTTAAAATGGCCAAACATGTGTTTCGTTATGCCTGAGGCTAAAAAAACTGGAGGGTCGATGACATCAATGTGGTCATCTGGACTACCTAGTCCGTGCTCGAGATAAAACACCCGTCCAAACCCCAAAACGGTCCCATATGGGCGACGGAAAAGGCCTTTGTATCATCCAGCTTTATTCCTATGCAAAAGGCCAGGGTCACGGTAATGTGGGGTAATATGCGTCCAGACACCGATCACGTTGCGAATGATGCTCCAGGAACAGTCTTGGGACGCAGAACGCTTCTCCAAGAAGATCTAGGAGGAGTTTCAGCTTTCTAGCTTAACTTGAACCGCAAGTATGACCACATTTTTTTAGTAGAAAATGGCATCCGGGAGGTCGTAGGCCCATCTTCAAGCAAGACAGTGCATCAGTGCAGAGGTCAAGCAAAGCATAAAAGCAGTGCCAGGAGACTGTGATAGGCGTGTGTGGCAAGATCACATCCCAGGCATCTCATCGGATCCAAATTTCATAAAAATGTGTTGGGAATATTGAAATCGAGGCT